CTAGTCTCAGATATTCAAACATTACAAAACAGATGGACATCTATTTATTGAATAAACCTTCCAGGTAAAATGTGCATCTTTATTGAGTGCTTCCCAAAGTCTGCAGTTCAGGCACCTGTAGCCTCACTCCCTCAGACTTATCTACTTGTCGTATCTTTATAAAACACTCAGATTCTCTGATCTTTTCTGGGCCCCAAACATGGCTTATCTTCTTATCCAATGTCTTTTCCTGGCCAGTTTGTTGTGGCTGGCCCTCTAGAACAACACTATACAAGAGAAATACATTATAAAGTATGTATAAGAAAAATTCAGATGCTTCACTGGCCACATTTTTAAAAGGCTTTTATAAACATGTAAAATTATTGTATACTATGTTTTATTTAATCTATGGCCTCCCAATATTATCAAGTAGTATATAATCAATAGTTCAAACCTATTTGATATATTATTTGATATCTACTGTGTGTTTGATACTTAATTCATAATGGACTAGTAGTATTTGCATTCAATAGCCACACCTAGCCAGTGGCTAACATATCTGATTTTTCAGCTTATTCAAGAGACCTGAGAATCCCTCTATTGGTGTGGCTATTGATCAGTCTTCCCAGTGAATCTTGTTACTCTTACAATGGATTTCTAGCTTATCTTCTTTATCTGAATTCCTCTGCCTTGAATCCTATTTTCCTACCCATGTAACCAAATAACTCCCACCTTATCCTTTATGGCTTTGCTTATACATCATTCACCATTTGAAGCCATTTGTGACCCTTGTCTAAACTTTCTCTTCACATTCAGTCTGAATGTGAAGATGGCCCCTTCAGCCCTCTGGCTAACCCCATCACACCTGCAGGCATACCTGCTGTCATGTGAATGTATAAATCAATGTTTTGTGTCTAACTGAAGATTTGGAATCCTTAGAAATGGGCCTGGGTGTCTTAGCTTTATCTCTGCACCAATCACAGTACATAGCTAGAACATGAATTTTAAGACTTGTTCAAGGAATGAGAGAAGCATGGCTGATTTTACATTGAGAACCTCTACAATGTAACTCATTAATAAAAGCATTACTTATTTTTTTATAAAGGAGCTTTGATGCTTAAACCATTCCTGAATCCAAAAAGTGTGCCCTAATTTAATGTTTCCTTTCCTCCATAACATGATTAGATATGAGAAGACAAATATTCATTTTCCTAACCTACACCAGATTCATTTTACATGTGTGTGCACACGCACGTGCTGTATGTAGAAAAATTTTCTCTAATTTTAGGATCCCTGTCTCTTTACCATTACCACTCTTTTCTCACTTCACACAAGCTGAAAGTCTCTAAATTCTTGTTGACTAAGAGAATCACAACATTTCAGGTTTGGAAGACATGGTAAATGCTGGTTTGTGAAGATCCTTTCCTGGATCTATAAACTATCTTAAACGTGCCTACTAAATGACGTCCTTCCTTGTTTTGGAATGCCTTTGATGCCAAGGAACATAATGAAACAATAAGTTAGATTTTCAAAGAGCTGTAATTAGTAGAATTCCCTCCCTCTGTTTGTAACACTAGCTTCAGCATTATGCAGGGCAGAGTCAACCCTCAGATCTGATTTATAAATGTACCCAATGTAAAAGAGCACCCTGCCCCTTGAAGAAGCTGTGAGTCACCATCGGATGGACAAATCTGGTTGTGTCCACAGCCCCAGTCCAGGGCTGATTTTGATTGCAGAACTGCATTTCTTCAAGTCAGCCCTTGTGGAATCTCTCAGCTCCAGGGAGCTCACCGAGTCAGACTTTGTGTGGTGACCCCCTCAAGGAAATGGGACATTTGTTACTGCTGGTTGAAACATAATTGATATCAAATCTAAAGGGTTTTTTCTGTTGTAGGACTTAGTAAAGTTCTGGATGGCCACATGGGGAAAGAGCAATAAAGTCACAATCCCCCCCCCAAAAAAATATAGTGTACCCTCTCCTTCAAAAAGTTAACCAAGGCATTAACTAGGCTTTTTAATCCCAGTATCCTATCAGCCCCATTCCCAAAGGAACCCAACTTAAGACACTGGACCTTGTTCTTTTACAACTGACAAAGGGTGGCACTTCCTGATGAGACCCAAATTTTAATGAACTTCTCTTTTCTCTTTGTACTTGTTAATGAATTTCTCAACCTCTTTTTGCTATTGGCATCTTTTTATTATCAGCTTGAATGTCACAACTTCAATATGTGGCTCCCGAACTAACACATCAGCCCTTACACTGTCTTATTGAACTTCTTAATTCCCCTGTTACAATTATCTGTATAAATCTATTGTGGGTTTTATTTGTTATATTATTTTTTTCTAATAGAGTACAAACACTGAAATCAGAAAACATGTCTATAATTTTTCTATTGTGTCTTCAAAGTCTAGGATGGTGCCTGGCCAAAAATATACAAATATATTTGTTGATTGAGTGAATCAAATCACTTGACTCCACCTCAATATATGTACACAAATACATTTGCACTTCCATTAATGCATATTATATAACAATATGCTTTTTCTTCAAATTTATTATTTCCTTAGGCTTTATTCTTCATGACCAACACCCAAGTCTGATGAATACTTCCGTAACTCTTGACAACACTCTCTTCCATTCTGTTGCTCTTTTGAGTTCTTGTGCTACATGACTCTCCCTGGGAATTTTCTCATAATCTTTTTTTTTTCTTTTTAAAATTTATTCTTTATCGATATACCTGACAGTAGAGTATATTTTGACACACTATACATATGTGGAGTATAAATTATTTTAATTCGGATTTGATTCTTGTGGTAGTCCATGATGTAGAATTAACACTGGTTGTGTATTCATCTATGAACATAGGAAAATTATGTCTGATTCATTCTATTATCTTTCCTGTCCCCATCCCCTGTCTCTTTACTATATTCCCCTTTGTCTAATCCAATGAACTTCTTTTCTTCTTCCCTGCTTATTGTGTGTTAGTATCTACATACCAGAGAGAACATTCAGCCTTCTTTGTTTTGGGGGGACTAGCTTACTTCACTTAGCATGATAGTCTCTAGTTCCATTCATTTACTGGAAAATGCCATAATTTCATTCTTCTTTTCTCATAACCTTAAAGATAGATACCATTCCTTCTCTCTTTTCCTCTCCACCTCCATTCAAGATCCAGTGCCATTTCCGAAGCACAATTCTAAAATTCTCTGTGATTTGTGCTTGGGTTGTGAAGGGCCTGAGCATGTGGTACATGAAAAGCAAGCAGAAGAGACATTATTGATATAAAATAAGAGTAAATGTATGTATTTTATAAAGGTAGTACCTTAAGTTCACCCAACAATTAGGCTAGTTAGTGTTAGCCTGATTTCCAAGATAGTTCAAAACACCACAAGAAAGAAAGGAATAATTCACAAGCAAGTACACAAAGACTTATTAGAAACAAACAACCATTTTTATTGAAAATAAGTGACTCTGACCACTGTCGATGCCATGGTCATCAACATGGTCATGACAGAGAATCAGATTTTCAGGGAGCAAAGGCTACTATGTGGAAAGTGGTGAGAAGATAGCACAGGTCCTAGGGCCTCCCAGATGCCATCCAAGAGATGGGCAGCCGAAGACCAATGACTTTCAAGCATGCCATTTTCTGAAGGTAAAGATCTTGAGGAGTGGATCTTGAAGAAGTGTCGTCTTTTAGAAGTGTCATTTCAGAAACAAATGGTCCTCTGATAGTGATGTTTTAGCAGCAAGGAGAATAACATCTTCTGTAGCAAAACACCCGGGAGCCACAACAGCCAGAGCCATAGCCAGAGCCATAGCCACCATAGCCACCGTATCCACAGCCACAGCCAGAGCCATATCCACAGCCACAGCTGGAGCCATATCCACCATAGCCACGGTATCCACAGCCACAACCATATCCACCATAGCCACCAAAGCCACCGTATCCACAGCCACAGCCAGAGCCATATCCACAGCCACAGCTGGAGCCATATCCACCATAGCCACGGTATCCACAGCCACAACCATAGCCACCATAGCCACCATAGCCACAGCCACAGCCAGAGCCATAGCCACCGTACCCACAGCCACAGCCGCAGGAGTTGCCGTAGTAGTTGCAACACATGTTGTCAGAGGAAAGCGTACAGGTGGGTTGAATCAGGATGGTTTGGAAGTGTGGATGTCTTCTGCTTCCCTGGGACCTTTATATACTGTCCACAATTGCCAGAGTATGCCATTCATTCCCTGACACAGCCAACAAATATTTAAACAACTATCATGTGCCAGCCACTGTTGACAATCAATAATGGTTTGCTTAAAATGTGCTCATTATTTTGGAGACTCTGGTTTTTATTTAAAGAACATCGTTTTAGTTTGTTCTGCTAATGAAATGTCTCAAACAAATCTCAGGCACAAATGTTAAACTGATGTCCATTTTTAAAACTTTCTATCACCTGGTAATATATTTTGTACAGCAAGTCTTGGGGAAAATATAAGAAAGATTTGCCCTCTAGACCTGAAAATCAGTTCTTTTCTCCAATGTAGATCGCATCAGAGTTTTGCCTGATGAAATGTAGGTGCATTCTTGGGATTCCTGTATCTTTCACTATTGTTCATTGTATATTTAACTGAGAAGCTAAAAGGAGAATGAATGATTTTAGTATACTGATGACAAGTATCACTTAGTTTGATCCCTTTTCTATATATTCTCTGTTTTAAAATTTTACTTTCATAGCTCCAACTGAAAAATATGCATTCTGAAAGAAGATACCTATCAGTGCTTGGGCCTGTTTATCTCTCTCTCTCTCTCTCTCCATATGTATGTATATATATGTGTGTGTGTGTGTGTGTGTGTGTGTGTGTGTGTGTATATATATATATATACACACATATATATAACATATATGTTACCATCTATTACCTCAATTGTAAATTTCTATTATCAATGCAACTTAGTCAATGCAATTCACTTATAGAATATAAAATATCATTTTGGTAATAAAACACTTGGTTAAATGTGACCTAAATAAGTAAATAATTCATAGTAAAAAGTAATTTTTTTACAAACTTCAACTTGGCATCACTATCACTAACTAGAGTTCAATGTCATGTATCAAGTTTCCTCTGACTTCTATTATGACTGAGGATCTTTGCATGGGTCTAGGTGGGTTACATTCAGTGGTAAGTCTTTCTGCAGACACCTATTGGGTATTTTAGAAAAGCTATCGAATTTATTAGAAATGAGTGCTACACAGGACTGAGCACCATGCTTTGTCCCCTTTCCTTGATTCTTCTCCAGAATGCACAGCTGTCAATAACATCTTTGAGCAACAAAGCTCTGCTGCAATCCAGGAAGGGGACAAATTCCTGCCCCTCTGCTGTCTTTTGCACTTACATTTATATTGCTGTACTAGAAGAATTTATGCTCAAACATATTGAACTACCCTTTAAGGGAATACCTATAAACTCTAAACATGATTGAGTTTTGAAACTTAAAAACGGAGGACCACATTCTTCCCTGCAAGAGGTAGAGAAATATAGAAACATTGTCAGGGACCCAGGGCCTGTTCTATTCCTAGAATTCTAACAATATGTGTAATCCAAAGAACAGGACTATAATGCATTTACCTGCATCCCCTCTTCTGACTCAAATATATGCAATTATCATTCAACTTAAGAATCTACAATTTTCCTACCAGAATCTATAATTTTTCTAACAAAAATTTCTATAAGAATTTCTCACTCAACTATAAAAATCTATATATTTTGTACATTGAGGTTTTCCTCCTCTCCACATATAGCTCTAAAACTATAATGTGTACTCACAAAGTTTTGTGGATTGCTTTGCTTGGTGGGCATCCCTAAACAACTTAGCTGAATTCCACACATGCTAACTGAACTTATGTCATAGGGAAGATGCTGTCTTGGGTGCTGAAGTTTGCAAAGACAGATGATTCTTGTCCAGGATCAAGCATACAAATAAAGTCTTCAACCCCAAAAGAAGAAGACGGATGCTCTTCTCAGGGTCACCTTATCTATATCCTGCTCATTTTTTTTAACCTCACTTTTCCCCATAATACAGGAATAATAAGGACAACAGAGCTATTGTCACATTTGTATCATTGATTCTCAATCAGAGATAATTTTACCCTCTTGGTGACACTTGCTAATTTCTGCAGAAATTTTCAAATAGCATGACTTGGGGTGGAAGGAAAGCTACTGGGCATCTGCTAGTAGAAATCAAGGATGCTTATAATCCTGAGAGGTAAAAATCAGCTTGGAAGAACAAAGAAACATCTGGTCCAAAATGTCAGAATTGCTGAAGTCTGGAAATCCTCATTTGTAGTTATGTCTGTAGGGGTCTAATTCAAGCATGCCTTTCCTTTTTACTCTATAGTCCACATCCTACCTTTATATCAAAACCATGCAGTAGAAAAAAACAGTAAAACAGGAAAAAAAATGTTTTTTATTTGTTTTCACTTATCTTACTGGTATAGGTTAGATTTATACATCATTCTCAGAACCAAGCAGTCTCAGAGTTTTCAATTATTTTTTACCATAATAGACATGAAATCCTAGTTAATAGATAATATAAACTTAGGAATATCATTTATTCTGTCTAATATTTGGATTTAGATGATAAAGGAGTGAATAGTGGCTGATTTCCTACTTTATTAGATGCCCTTAATGGATATTTTCACAAAGCTGTCAATCTCTTTTTTTGATAACCTTCATTATAAGATATTTGTCCTTCTGTGAAAAAAAAATATTCCTACCTATTTCTTCTGATATTGGGTACTGACCTTATCTAACCACTCTACTGTAATTCATCCTTAACAATAGCATACAGAAAATAAATCCCCCCCAGTTTTTCTTTTTCCCTTGATTTCTTTCCTTTTATATCATCCTTGAATTTCAAAACTATAAATTCTACTTCACAAATTCTCTGGAATAGACATTTGGCTTTTCAATACCACTGTCAACACCAATTTCCAGAACACAATACAAATGCATTATTGAAGAAAAGTCTTCTATCGAGATTGCATTACTTCTAATACCTTTCCATTCAGATCTTTAAGTACTGGTTAATAAAAGCAAATGTAATTTTTTTTAATATTTTTTTAGTTGTAGTTGGACACAATACCTTTATTTTTATTTGTTTTTATTTTTATGTGGTGCTGAGGATGGAACCCAGCACCTTGCACATGCTAGGCGAGTGCTCTACCACTGAGCCACAGCCTCAGCCCCAAGACAAAAGCAATTTCTATTCTCTGCGTCTGTGAATTATCAGGTCTCAATACTTACTTGCCATATAATTTGCAACTTAATAGGTCTTCAATTAAAAAAATGGATGATTGAGTCAAACACATGTTCCAGTATTGATGTGCCACTTACACACTGTATTTGAGTATATGCTTAAATTCTCTGAAAACCAACTTTCTTTTTCTAAAATGGAGTCTAAGCATTTTCACATGGTCATTTTTCATATTTCCTGGACTCGTCAGTGCATTAGGGGAAAAAAACTATGCTCAATAAATGTTCCCTTGATTCCATTTTTCTCACAATACATTTTTAAATTCTCATCTATAATAATTTTTCAAACATCATATTTATTTGTACCAAAATGCTGATTTTGTCAGAATTTAATATAATAACTGTAATTTAAACAGGCTGTTCTATCATACACACATGTAGTCTAATTTTAAACTTTTTTATGATGAAGAAGCAAAACCTTTCAGAAAACAAATTACTCTCCAGGTGACCTTTGTACATTCTGAGTGAGCCATTTTGTATTTTTGATTTATTACAAAAATACTGTGTCAAGCCTATATCATTGGGCATGGCTGCATGCATCTTTTCAATGCATGGATCAATTACAAGATGACTACATTGTATTCATAGACTCTATCACTTGAAAACATGTTAGGTATCTATCTGGAAAAATATCATGTGACTTTTTGAAATTCCAGAACATTCCAAAGATTAGCCTACAATAAGAAAATATTTTACTTTTAGGACTATTACAGTTTGATAGCTTCCTTAAGTACCATCTTACAATGAAAGATTTTAGACTAGCTCAAAATTTTATTAAGTAGTAAAGTCTCAATATCCATGTGAAAATGTTTCTAGAAATTCCCATGATTTGGGGATGTATATACATGTCCCCCTTACAGTAGAGTATACTTTTATTCTAGCTTCCAATTCTAAAAATCTAGTCTAAATTCTCATTAAAAAATGAGCCACACACTCTGGCATATGTCTGTCATCCCAGCTTCTCTGCAGTTTGAAGCAGGTGGGCCACAAGTTCAAAACAACTTAGCAACATCTAGTCTTATAATGTCTTCAGAAAGGATTGGGAAGTAGCTCAATACTATAACACATTCTTAGAATGTGTGGGGCCCTGGGTTTAATTCCCATCTCAAAAAAGGAGGAGGAGGAGGAAGTGGAGGAGGAAGGAGATGGTGGTGGAAAATTTTCCTCTAATGCAGTCTTATCTTTACACACATTATCTCCTCACAACCTGCTAAGATGCAAAAGGCAGGTACCTGTTGGACTAGCCCTTGAGGGCAAAAATCTGAGTCTCAGATCAACTACACCACTGGCCCAGGGCACACAGCTAATGAGTGCCATCCAGCATGTGCACCTGCCAGCCACCTTCTCTCCAGATCATTGGCAAGGTACACGCTCTCTAGAAACTCTTGTTAAGAGTAAGAGAAGGCTGGAACTTCCTCTCCAGATGTAGTTGGTGGTGACAGTTCTCCGGGTCATGGTCATAAGTGCATAAGATGGCTTATTGTCCTTCTCCTACATGACTGTCCAACTCCTCCTCATTCCTCATTCGATCTTCTTGGAAATGTTTCTTGACCCTTTCCTCACTGAATGATCCCTCTCTTATTAGACCTGCAACATATAGCCCTATGGTAACAACTGCCTCATTCTATTGTTAATTGTATCATATAACTCATACACGATTATGAATCCACTGAGGAAAAAGAGATGCTAGGTAAGTACATAGATGGGGAGATAGACAAAAGAAAAAGAGAAAAAAATGGGGAGGGGAGGAAAGTGGAAGGGAGATGAGTGGTTGTTAAATAGATAAATAATAGATAAATTATCCACAAATTCTGCTTTAACACAAGCTTTTTCTCTCCTAGCCGTG